TTTCACAGCAATGGCTTTTTTTTGGCTTGGGGGTAACTCACCGAGTTGGACTGGCAGCTAATATTCTCTGTCAGCCTCTATGTGAAGGAGCGCCCGCTCGCCATTCGAATTTTAATCATCATTGTGTTGCCGCCATTTCCAAGAACCAAATCTCGGCTTACTTTGTGAAACTGCCTCAATTTTCTCCTGATCACAAAGTAAATCGGAGAGAGAGAGAAGCGAGGTGTTCTCTGCTGATAGAAAGAAAGAAAGAAGAGAAAGAAAAAACCATGTCAGAAACCAAAACATGTTGCAAGGACAGGGACCCCTACGAGTGTCTCAGTGCAAGAAGCATGGTGAACACACTGACTTGTAGGTAGGCAGCTCAAAACGGATACTCTGACATCATGGAACAGCTGTTCTGTGAAACACCTGGTTGTAAGCAGAAGCTTTGGTTGGTCTGTACCCTCTGCCGAGATACGACAGCGGCAGATGCAGGGTTAGTCTTGTCAATTACAACAGTCTTTATGCACATCTGAGGTCAAATCCACCAAAGATCGGTTAACTTGAGTGCAAACGACGGTAGCAAACATCTCACTGGTGACCGGCTGGAGGAGCTAAGCAACGTAGAGAATGCTTACACATTTATTCCTAATGGCACTGCTGGGAATTTACAGGCACCAGATCATTTACACAGCAGAGTGGAATTTGAAGCTGGTGGCTCAGAGCTACTTCAGAAGTGGTTTCAGCTTCGACAAAGACTCTATCAGACCAGATGAGGCGATGTGGATTTTGCGGCTGCACACTACTCAAGCACACTGACCAGAACTCAGCGTGACGGAATTGTCACATCAAACGCTTCTATTATGAGATGGAAGGCGTCACGAGAAAGAGAACCGCGATCTCATGGCTGGGCTGGGGGGGGGAAGACTACCGCAGGATCCTGCCCCCTTCGAACATTGCTGCAGGCTTATCAAAACATATTTGAGGTTCGGGCTTCGCAAAACTTTGCAGAAAATGCAATGAGACATTGCATTGAAGATTCTTCCTACCGACACTCTTATGCAGCCACACAATCCCGGCTGGATGACGGCTCTTGCTCCGAGACCGGGGCCCAAGTCCTTGTATTCGACTGGCGGAGCCTGTTCAATATAAAGAGCGCAGTGTTTGTAGGTACGAGCACTTGGTGTGGTCGAGGCGATTTGACACAGCGCAGTGTGCTTTTGGTTTTGATAGTGAATAGGATGGTAGGGTCTATGAAACAGACTCTTGTTTTTGTGGCGGTGAACAAGACAGGTGCCTCTGACGAGCTTTCTGTGCACCAAATCAAGAAAATCATGCCGGATTCAGAGAGAGATGCTTTGGTGACCTGTATCTGAGATGGGGTACTGCGATGGGAGACTCTGTCCTGTTTCATCCCTTGAAAGAGTACTTCATTTCCTCAAGTGGAAGTACCTTTGGTATTCTCTTGCCCAGGATCCAAACAAGCGCACCCCCAGGGCACAAGTGGTCTGCACAACCGTCTTCGTATTTAGCAAAAGCAACGTAGTTTTAAATGTATTAGAACTGGATTGAAAGTTTTCGACCAAGATAGAAACAGTTGTGCTTTTTTTTGTGATGGTGATTGTTTCGGACCTGATAGATTGTTGAATCCCATGGAATGTCAACCTCCCGTTGAAAGAAAAATGTCATCGGAGATCTCTTCTTGAGTTGAGGCTTTCGACTAATGGTAGAAAAGTCGTGAACATTTCGGTTGTGCCTTGATTGTTTTTGAGTACAATCGTGATGTCCCACTTCCACGCTGTGGTCAAACAATTAGAAACGTCTCTTGTTGAGATTGTTTCCTTACGCCACTGTGTCCTCGCTGGTCTATCTGCTCATAAATTGACATTGGACTTGCTTAGACCAAAATACAGAGGAAGAACAAATGCAGAACGGACAACTCTACACGATTGCTGACAACAACAATGTCGTTGCGGCGGGTTTCTTCAATGTTGGCAATGTCCAAATGGACTGGAATGATGGAGTTCAGGATGACGACTTATTGACTGTCCTGAGGTCCAGCATGTCCATCGTCACATTGGTATGGTTTCGGTAAGTATGAAATGCTTCATGGATGTTACCGCGACGGGTTATGAAAAAATTGATGAATTCAAAGTGAACAGTTCAACAATATGATTCGCGCTGACTGCAAAGCCATGGTTGTTGATCCCGTAGTCGACTGGATCAGCAAAGTCGAGAACCATGTCAAAGCGAACTTTTCCAACGAGTACGGCATCAACATTACTTTCTTCCCACATGAAAGAGGCTTTGATGATTATGGCGAGATTGCATGGTGGTGGCGGGAACCACAGCCTTCGTGACATCCTAGGTGTGAGGTTTTCCGTCGTTTGGTGAATGTTGGAGGAGTCCTCCATATGATGCGCCAGGTTGCGGTTGCTCGTGATATCAAACAAATCTTCAACCTCTATGAAACGACACGTGGCGGGGTTGCTTCATCAATTCAGATACTGTCTTGGAGGAAATGGATGGACATATGCGTGACATGAATGAGTGGCCATGAATCTTTTCTGAAGACGTCGCTGGTGTCTAATAAAGTATAGTCAACCACACACACAGGCTCACTGCATAATGCTTCTTGCTCCCATCACCAAGGGAGAGCGACCGGTCCCAGTATATCCCCTTGTACTTGTCCCCTCCACGACATTGCTGCACACTCGATCTAGGGACTTCCTTGTAATGTCAAGCGCGAAGGGTGGATCGGAATCGAATATGTAGCTGCCTACGAAGCTGACGCTATGGTTCACTCCAATGGTGCTCATCTTGCCGTTCTTCCAATGTGATGGGCTTTGATGACAGCAACAACTGCAGCTCCAGTGGATTATCCTGCCTCAGTGGGTTGAACCTCTCTCTGTGTTTGTGTCTCATCCGCACTCTGCCGTAGCTCTCTTCTTTGGCTTAAAAGTCTTCATCACGGCGTCCAGGAAGACCTTCATCTGTCGCTGCCTCTGACGAGGCATGGAGTCTTGGAGTAAAGTGAGAGTATTTCCTCTGCCTCCTCAGAAAACCCAACATGGCAAAGGGCGCTCGTGAAGGAGCTTACGAGACACATCCCATCGTTGTTGGTTTGGTTCTGGTAGCGAACAGGAGGACTTGAATTTGTCTGGGACGCCAATAAATAATGCGACCCCTCGATCCCACAGGCAAGTGGCATCACACTCCTGTTTTCTTGGCATTATCAAGTGTATCCCTCGGTATGTGTCGTTTTGCCCAGTTCATGGACACCATCGTACCAGCGCCACTGCAGTCATTACTGTGATGTGTCTGTCTATGAATTCGATCGAGTTGAATTGTGTTGTGTTGAGATGCTTCTTCAGATCATACTTCTGCACTGAAGCCCACCCACCGACTCGGTACCTTTCGTCCAAATAGCAGTGTGGGTGAGAATTGATCTCATGTACTTTTCTGTAGATCTGTTCGAGTATTGTCGAGTTGGCACACCATATCTTCCGTGCCAACCGCCACCTCGACTCTGCGCAATTCCTTTACACGCTCAGGATGCTGGAGTGCTTGCTCAACAAGTACAAGCGCTCAATGTTATTGATACACCACACTTGTCGCTGGTCAAGCGTCTTATTTCTGCGGACTCCTTCTCTGTCTGGGAATCTCGAAGCTTGTTTCGGAGAGCACTCACTCTCTCTCAAGAAATGGAAATTTAGAGTTGGATTAGACCTTTATATTCGGCAAGAACTGCCAAGATTCTTTGCGATGAGCTCTCGAAGGGGGGGCGGAGGAAATTTCTCTCTTGATGGATCACTGACTACTCTTGCTTGAAAACGACAACATCTGTGAAAGTGGTGTTGTCCTCGGTAACTGCTGTTTTGCTGTCTCGATGGATGATTATGTGCAGACCCTCTAAGCGCGATGCCACATTGGGAACTGAAGAGGGGGCAGTGTCTTCTGTAAGTGTCGAGTCGTCATCGGTTCTGGATCTGTACTTGTTCCATGGCAGTGTGTTCCTATGTCTTGTAGCTCCTCTGTGTTCTCGATAGTACCGGGGGTGATCCATCTTTGGGCACGCACCAAGCAAAAGCGACAGAGTGGAGGTCCTTGTTGGAGGGGAATCTATGTCCCTTCCGCGAACCCACACGGTCCTGCACACTCACCGAAGCGACAGAGTTGAGGTCCTTGTTGGAGGGAATCTGTGAGGATGTCAGAGACGGCGCCGTCAAAGACATGTTCTCCTCGCTGAATATGAGAGACGCAGTTCTATCACGACACGGAAATAACCCACCCGAAACTATGAATAGGAACAGCAACAAGAGCCGATCGATGCCATCTTTGTGTCCCGGGGGATCAACATCTCAGCAGCTGGCTATACTGATTACGGAGACTTCATTGATTCTGATCACCGCTCCGGTGTGGATTGATGTGCCCTTCACATCAGTGCTCGGACACAACCCACCGAACTATGCAAAAAAGAAACCTGAGAAGCTCAAACCAGATGACCAAGAGTGCGGGACCGCTACATCATGCTGGTAAGAAACGATATCGTCATTTTGACAATTTCGTACCAAAGCAAGCAGCTTATGTGGAGTCACTTCTGGCCATGGGAGCTCCACTGCAGGTGATTGTGGCCGAACATGACAAGCTTGTGGTGGCCGATTTTAGAGCTCGAATGTGGGCAGCCCAACGCTGCAGGCCAATCTACACTGGCCTCCATGCATGGTCCCCCAAGTGGGCTCAATCTAAAAGGGTCCTTCTGGCGTGGGAACTGGTTCTAAAAAGTCGGTACCGAACAGTACGGAAACACTACCTGGTCCGGAAGATGAAGGGAGCCGGGGTTCCATTTGAGGCTTTGCTTTGGGAAACGTTCGAAGTCAGGAAAAAACGGGAGGAGGCAAGGGAGCAGTTTCGAAAATGCTGCCGCGATGCCGACTTGTTTCGCACCGACCATCTGGAGACACTGGCAGCCGCCAAAAGCAAAGGATAAGGGAACCACAAAAGCAGGCGAACTTAGAATGCTCAAAAGCTCCAACAAGGCAAGGGAGATTGGGCGCAACGTCCGCACTGCACTCGGAAAAAACAGCAAAGGTCTGGCAACCTCCCTCCAACGACCACACCCAACTGGCGAAGGCATGGAAATCTGCGACACTCAGACAAGTTTGGTCGATGCAAGTATTGATGAAGCCACCGCACGCTTCACCCGAGCAACTGACATTTCCCCATTCATGACAGACCCCCTCCTGTCGGAAGTGGGACCAATGGCAGAACTCCCAGGAGCTGACGAAATTTTAGCAGGCACCTTTGAATGCCCCCCCGAAACTGATCAATACACCCAACTTCTCATTCAGCACCTAGCCACACCTCCTGAAGTCATGGCGGCTGGAGACATCCCTCTGGATATCCCACTCAAGGAACACCAGCGGGCATGGAAACAGCAGAATCACCACACAGCAGCTGATCCACGAAACCTGAGCTTCGCACATCACAAAGCAGGGGCCCACGACAAGAGCATCAGCCAAGTTGACACCACCATCCGGTCAGCCCCAATCCAAGCAGGATTCAGCCCCCCTTCTTGGGAGTTCATGTCAGATTGTTCTATTCCCAAAAAGGCCAACAACCTCTTAGCTTCAGCTATGAGAATCATAGTTCTCATGGCGCCCTCTTCAACATGAACAATAAGATGATCGGCAAGAGGGTGATGGAAAGAATGGAGGATCTCAGACTCATGGTCCAGGAACAAGCGGGGGGCCGAAAAAATCACCAGTCTGCTCACCAAGCCCTGAATAAGGTTTTGAGTAGTGACATCCTCCGGTTCAATCGACAGGCGGGCTTCTTTTGCTGTAACGATGCCATCCAATGCTACGATAGAATAGCTCACCCTGTGGCTATTCTGGCACTCAGACGACTAGGAGTTCCAGCGTCCGCACGGAATCAAATATCTCATCTCTTTACAACGCCGACTAGAAGCCTTGTCATTATTTTAGCTTCACTCAAAGATCTTATAGTACTGATTTGGTATTACATGTAGTTTGCTCTTATAGTTTGCTCTTAGCTTGCTGTCTGCATACGGTACTACTAGTAGAGTAGCTAGCTAGAGATGGAGCATCGTACCAGCCAGCGCTAGAAGCTGCTACTACAGCTACAAGATGAAGGGAGAGCCACTAGAAGTGTAGGTAGGTGCATGTATCTACTAGCAGACAAGCTAGCTAGCTACAAGACGAAAGCAGGAGGGACAACAAGAGCCTAGCTATTAATAGTGCCCATGGGCATAGGAGTTCAGCTGTTTCCAAAGGAGCTACGGCGACGCTTGTCATCCTTCTTTTTCTTGATCATGGCCGCGGCTGCATTGACTTGATTCGCGTGCACTGCAGCAAAAAAGTTGATGTACTTGCAGTTCTGATCAATCAGGCTAGCCATCCAACGGAGCCCGTGCTCAAAAACAGCACCTTGGTCGCATGTTGTCGTGTATGGGATCACCACTTCAAGCTCAGCAATATCACCGTCGGGGCGGCCCTCGATTGCTGCCATCGTGACACGGTACTTCCGGCAGGTTGTGTGATCTCCGTGCACTTTGGTTGGTTTGTGGATGTGCCACTCACGCGCATCGGAGAAGACGACATCGAGTACTCCAGTTTTTCGATCGGTGAAGGTTTTCCCATGCTCAACGTGTTCGAGGCCGCCCGAGCCGGTCACAACGATTCGGAATGTGGATGTTTCTTTGAAGCGCTGAATCGTAAGCTTTCCCACCCCATGAAAGACACGTCCACGAAAATCTTTTGCTGTTATCAAGGGCCGAACCATCTTGTCATCTCCACAGCCTTCAATCGTGTTCTGCACAGGCTCCACATGGTAAAAATCGTAGTAGTCATTCCAACCGGGGGGAGGTATCATCAAGCCTCGATACCAATCCCAAGGAGCACTCACGCCGCCGAGCTGGAAGAAGGAGTAAAGAGGAGAGCAAAGGAGTAGTTAGTCGATAGTCGATGGAAGGGTAACGCCACGCACGAAATCCCAAGGAGCAAGTACTTACGCCGTTTGTTGCGCTCGGTTGGAAGCTCATCGTCGAAGAGTAAAGATAGATAGATAGAAGAGAGTCGAATTGAGTAACGGAGATAGATAGCGTCGAGTAGTAGGCAAATAATGAAGAGAGTCAGTCAGTCGAAATGAAGATCGAATGGCAAATAATGAGTGAGGATCGAGCCGTAGGTTCCGGTACGGATTGTACGTGTCGATTCATTCGAAGCTCGAAATCCTCGAGCTCGAAGCTGGAAGCAACGCATGCATCCAACGCTAGCCTACCTTCGATCCCGTGAAGGCGTCCATACTTTACACGTTCCGAGAAGAGTCTCCGATTGCTGAGAACACTCTCCGCTTGTTGATCAATACTTTGCCCTTGAACGAACCGTCTTCCAAGATCAATCGCACGTGGTTCTCTAACAAAGAAAAGTCAACAAGCACGTGAATCAATGTGTTTCAATATTCTGCCAACTCGTGTTGCCGTTGACTCGGAACTGAAGTTGACAGTCGATCGAAGAAGAAAAGGCTCGAAGCTGAAAGGCTCGAAGTCGAAACTGTCGACACTCTCACAAATTCTCTCATCAGCCTTCGAAAAAGCGAAGCTCTGGCATTTTCCTCGATCTTTCTTCCTTGCTCTCTTCAATCTTTCTTCCTTGACCTTGCTTGCTCTCTCTTTGACCATGGCGTCCCGCAATCGTAAAAAGCAGCAAGGCCGTCGCCGTCAAGACAACCGTCAAGACGAACAGCTCTTCGGAACCTACGTCAGCGAAGATGGGCCTGTGCGTTGGAGCGACATTTGTGAGTCTTTGTGTGAGCGTGGAACGAAACCGTACCCATCCAGATTGTCGCCTCATCATTGTTTTCATTTGTCCTGTTATGTTTGCATATGTGTCTTTCGATTCCGACGACGCGAAGCTAGCCCTCAAGCGTACATGGTTCAATAAAAATGGAGACGATCTTGGAACCGACGAAATCAAGTTCAAGACCAAAGCGGAATACGTAGCTCATGCGCGCAAACTCGTGGAGCTTGAAAGCTTCGAGAGTAGCCAAGCCGCCGCAGCAGCCAACACCGACCGTCACAGAGTCGTCAACGAACGAGCCCTCGGAAGAGTCAACGACATTTGTAAGACTTGGGCGAACACTCCGAAGCAATGGTTCTTGGAAGCGGAATTCCCCAACATGCCAAAATATTTGATTGCAGATGCAAACGCGAGGATGGATGAAGCCACCGGTGAGGTCCTCAAGACTGTCTCCCAATGTATCTTTGTCACAGTGCAGGAAGTTACGGCGATGATGGAACAGCTTGAGAAGGAGATCAAGGCATCGGCCAAGCCCAAGCCCAAGCCCAAGGCAATGGACACGTCCAAGGCCGCGGCCTCGAAAAGGATTATGGACTTCATCCACAGCACCAACCTCCTTAAGAAAGAGGCCAGCGACGATGACAGCGTTGAAGTCGATGACAAGTGGAAGGATGTTGATGTCTCCATGGAAACTGTCAAGACTCCCGGCAATGCCAACAAGTCTGTGGATGAATCGATGGCTTCTTCTGAGGATACTAGTGTCGGTTTCTCTGTCATCCAGGAAAAGTTTGGAGGCGCCAATCTCAACGATGACTCCGACTCCGATGAGGGTACATACCAGAAAGGATTGTCCCAGATGCACTGAATTCCGAAGAGGCTGAAGAGTGAGTCGGCTCCATCGTGAATTGTTGCTGTTGTTGCTTGTTGTCGTGATGCGCTCATCTCTTCTTCTCTCTTCTTCTCTCTACCAGACATCGGTGCTGTTCCTGCTGATGTTGACTGCTTATTGTAGCTGTGTGTGGGTGCTGCTCCAGATCCTTCATTCCTGTGTTGCCTTGGCCATGGACGCCATTGTCCTCCTGTTGTGGCTTGTCTTCGATACAAGCTGCTGCTTGGTGTTGGTGCTGCTGTTGGTGGTGTGAGTCGACTATCCTCAACCCTAACGTGCAAAATATCGACGGTTGAAGTTGATGTCTTAGTGAGATTTATTTAGCTATATAAAAAACTAGAGTGTGACTGGCCGACTTTCCTCCGTGTTATTTGTTAGTAATAGAATCCAAGCCTCTCTGAACCCAATGTGGGGGCTCTGGGGGCCCTTACCTATTACACTGTACCGGTACGAGCTCTCATTCAAGAGCTTCTCAAGGCTGTTCTCCAAGAGCTCACTGGACTGTGACTCAAAAACTTGATACCGCCTCTCATTCGAGTTTGACCCGTCCGGGCGACCAATACTTTGAATGAGCTCACCATCTTTTACCCTCGTTGCTGTATGGAAGTTGCATTGAGATCGTTCCTGTCGTCCACAGCACCGTCTCCATAATCCTGTGGCCAACTTCGTGTCGTCGTCGTAAGCTTTCAACTATAGACAATAACGGCTGTTAAGTCACGTACAATAGCTTTGTAATGGTACACTACAAAGCCAACCATTCGAGATCTTCTCTCGTTGCATCCAAACCAACATATACTTACAACTCTCATCCGCATACCGGTGGAGATTGCTTCCTACGGAAGCATATTGCTGATCCGAGGCAGGTATATATACCGGTGTAGGTTCTTTTGAAACATACAGGGAGGACACGAAAGAGGTCCTATGGCAAGGTGAAGTGGGGATCAGGTCTTGAGGTTGAGAAAGAGTACTAACGGTACGAGAAGATTGATTGGCAATTGGCAGCATACAGCAACATTTTGACGCTGCAGATCTCATCAGGTCCTATCTCATCACATTGACATGTCTATACCAGTGAAAGGCTTCCTCTTCCGCGCTCACAGGCTGTCGTAAATCAATTCTAATAGCTGGATGGTTCACAATAGCCACCGCTTGGGCTTACGCTCACTTTGTTTGACACGACCCTACAGAACGGTTTCTCTCACCGATTGCCGTCTCGCCTTTATACTTCGACGCAGTTGGGATTACCTTTGTTGGACCAAACGAGAAACAGAAAGACGATACCAAAGTGTGACCTGAACCTCCATCCATTCAACATTTCAACGACGACATGGGTCCATTGGACTTCAGACTTTGGAGGAGCTTTCCCTCAGTCTTCGTCAAGGGTCGTCTCGCCTTTCTACTATTACCTTTGTTGGACCAAACGAGAAACAGAAAGACGATACCAAAGTGTGACCTGAACCTCCATCCACTCAACATTCAACGACTACATGGATCCATTGGATTGAAGACTTTGGAGGAGCTTTCCGTCATTCTTTGTCCCGCAGCCAACTACAAGGCCAGCAAAACCTAGAACAGGGCTAAGGTGCTACACACAGAAGGCCAGCAAAACCCAGCAAACAATGCCACAGAGCCCTGGGAAGACCTTCCAGATCCCAAGACCAACGAGAATTCGTCCCACAAAGGGGTGATCAATCCCGAAGATTCAGACAGAACGACTACAGAGATCTACATCCAATTTCTTCGGCTGATGGATCGGAGCTGAAATCCCACACGATCTTGATAATACACACGGAAGCATAGCAACAATAACCATCAAACTATTGGGGCAAACAAATATTGGTCGTCACTGCCGCTCTTCGTGCCGGTACACCCCAGTCGCCCGAACATCCCATTCGTTGGAACTTCCCGGCTGAACCTCTCACCAACACGAAGCGCTTGGTACAAGCAGAGTCGAGTCGATAAACAAAACTTTAATCAACTCAGACCAATCCATTCAACAGGCATTCAGCCAGAGGCAGCAGATTGTTCGCTTCCGGTCATCACTTTCAGACCCACGCCAAGACAAAACGAAGAGCCTGCAAAAACTAACTTCAAGCGGGCAGCGAACGGTCGCTCGTACGTCGAAGAAAACCATTCAAACACCTTCGTCCCGCCCGAGCAGAGCACAAAGCTGACTCAACTTTTGCCGCCATTGGTCTCCAATAGTCAAACCCAGAAACTCTCATGTAAATTGAACTGCCATCTCCTGCCGTGATGTTCAAACCAGCAAAGAAACTCGAGACCTCCCGTCTTTCACACGATCATTTTCGTTTCTTTCGGAGCATCAACAGCAATAAATCTATTCTAGATCTTGAGTTGACTAAAGCCCTCTGCTGTTTCCTGCTTGGAAGTCTGAGGTGGCTCTTGCTTCAAGTTGATTGCTGCTCAACAACCTGAGTGGATCTCTGAAGTTTTGCATTGATATGACTGCACGGCGGTCCTTTCCTGCATGGGAGACCTTTCCCGAATGAAACACGCAAGGCTTTTCGGTCTTAGGCGGAGTCGAGTCGGGCCTGTTTGTTCCCGCTCTGAAAGATTCAAGTCTAGCTGGGATGTTGAGGAATTGCAAGCAGCAGGCTGTCTCGGACCAGCTCAAGCGCACCGGCACCAAATCTATCTCGTCCTCGTCCCGCACGCAGCTTCAGGACAGCCAGCACCGACTTTTCGCTGCGCGCAGCCCGCTGCAACTCAGATCATGATCCAAAGCTTGACGTCGAGATGGTGGGTCTTCGGTGTGGGATATTGGTAAGTGCCGACTTGCGGATCTCAGCTCTCTTGCATGCCGAGACCCAAACCAAAGGATCAAAACGAGTGAAGCAAACGACTCATGCGCCTCTCCTGCGGTTGCCCAAGCCAGCTGAGGTTCATTTATTCAGGTAGATACCTCGACCCCGAACTCGTCTTTGGTAGAGTTGAGATGAGAATGGATGTTGAGCTCCCCCGACCTTCGATATTGGGAAATGTTCACAATGTGACGGGACAAGGTGTTGGCGAGAGAAATGAGGCCTTTCTTGCCCGCTCTCAACGCAAGAAGCCATCATCATGCCTTGACCTGACATGACCCGCAGCTCCGGGCCGCCCCCACTGTTTGTTCGCTTGAGGACAAGGCGATTACGCCTCGTCCTCCAACTCTTGCAAGATGGCTTCGAGCCGAGATCGAGTCTCGCGACTGGTCCATCGTTCTTCCACCGACGGATTCCAAGCTCCTTGCAACAGTTCTTGGATCCGATCGGGCATGCGAGCCAGTTTCTTGGGGACGCCATCGACCGACGACCGCCGCCGAACCCTGCGGAACGGATGCTGCAGCATGAGCATTTCGTAATAGATCAACGC